GTCGCTTAGAGACTAAAATCGTCGGGTATCAAAGATTTGCCTTGTGTAAAAAGGGCCTTAGTGAATGAAAATATTTTTAACAATGGGAGTGTTTACATATGTACAGTCACTCACAGAAGTATTCGTAAATTAGTTTTTTCACATAAATCTTTTTCGTTAATTTTCATTTAAAATATAGCTCATTCTATAACAAAAACCATATAAATCATTCTTGCAAACTTTGTACAAAATTCATAAAATTAATCGAACTTAAAAAAATGTTCATCAAAATTTCAAACTTTTTATTCTGAATTTGTAGAAAATTTTTTGGTATTTATGATGGAAAACATTTTGTAATATTGTGAAAAAACTAATTTACGAATACTTCTGTGGGTGACTGTATGTATATTTATGTGGAATAATACAGTGTGTTAAGAAATGATAGCGACCTAAAATTTTATATTTTCATTCATATTCCTGGGATATAATCGCGTACAAAAGTCCCACTTTAAGGCGTTTGTAAATGATAGCACCATTGAAGCAATAGTGTGGACAGGGGATTGGAGTTTCTCATCTTTGATTTATAATATTATTTTTTTTTGGCGCCCTGCGCGCAGTTTGCCGGACATTTGTTGACATTATGTTTCAAAAGGCCACGCTCATGGGCGTACGTTACTTGCATGTTACAAAATAAAAATATATTTTAAGAATTTCAGCAACACACAAAAATAGAGCGTTCGCCCGAGCGTTTGGTTTTTCAACTGTAAAAATTTTACTTTGCATTTGGCACAGCAAAATTAAATTTATTTGTACATCATAACAATGTTTTCCACCCCGTCTCAGCACGGAGAAAAAAAGTTACCGATTCGCACAGGCCCAAATTTGCGAAATTTCTTTTCTCTGCTATCCGACGTTGGCAGAATGTCAGCAATCCTATCAACTTTACGCGATGTGATGCTCCTAAGGATTTACATTGAGTTAAGATTGGCAATCCATCATTTCCAAAAAGTTTTGGTGCCAACTTGCAAAACGGCGTTGCAAGAAATATTTCGTCATTCGTTTAATAATTGCAAAGCACAACATACACTCACTGCACTTTGCACCCAAAATTTTTGTAAAAAAGATCTGGCGCTTCCACACTTTAATAAACGCCATTTGTTAACTTTCACTATATACGAATATTAAATTTATTTGAAATATAATTTGTTTTCAGTGCTGTCATATTTTTTATTATTTTTTCATTCTATATTTGTTTAAGTAAATTTTTACATCTTACTGGAGTACCTGAGCTTCATATGGGAGGGATTTCGCTTTGCTCTTTTATACATATGAAACTCCGGCACTCTCATATGAATTGTATTTATATGTCAGGGCATGCAGGAGGGCGATAATTTGTTTTTAATTTAAAGTGTAAATTTGGATGCGTTCAGGGCAAAACAAAAACAAATGTGCTACAAGTACTTACGGAGTCAGCAGCTCTGTTCTAATTATTTGAAACTCGATGAAAAGAAAAGTTACACAACATAAGCGTTGAACTTATATACATATATTTGGAAAAGTTACAATTAAATTTCTATGATCAAAAACAATAAACGTTGATTATATTTTAGTTACAATATACTACGGTTGTCTTTTACAGAAACAGCAAATACATTATCACGCTCCTGAAACTGAACGCGTAGTGTTGTTATCTATATTTCAAAACAAGTAATCAAAACATTGGGTACTGTATTTCTTATATATAAAATCGTGTTTTTTAAATTAGAATCCAATGTTTTTTTAGACATATCGAAATTTCGTTTAAACTTTATTTAAAATACGTTTCGGCATATCGGACATGTTGATTTACTGCTAGTTGTGAACCACTTGTACTGAAACGGGAAAATATTTGAATTAGTTGATTATCAAATTTATTTTTTAGGCTAGTGTATACAGTTAATTAGTAATATTACAATAACAGTTATGTAATTTTAAAAATAAATTAAGCGCCATACACACTTTTGGTAAGTGATAGGCCGAGTTTCTGCTCCAATATGTGGTGTGCGTCTTGATGTTGTTACACAAATGGAGGGCCCTATAGTTTTACGCCGCGTCGAAACAGCAAATGGATTTCAAGAGAAGCAATTTCGAGACAGAGAGCATTTTTTTTATTTAGAAAAAGAAGCTAAAGATATTTGTATAGCGGTGAACTACCACAATATGAAGTACCTCCTGGCAACACGTTAAAAAGTCTTCGCGTCTTGGGCCACTGTTAGCAATTGTAAATTTTGAGTGAATAAGGACTTTGTTTACCTAGGATCCAATTTTTGTTTGGTATCGGCCCAAACCGATGAACGGTTGTAGAATCAAACAAGAAAAAGAAAATTAAGGAAAATTTAAAGATAGAAATACACTCATATATTTGGCATTGCCTGTCGCTATTAGAAAACCTGTTTTTTCTATTATTAGTCCTTTCATTAGGCCCTTCACATTAGGCCGGGTCGATTGTGTATGGGGGAAAATAAAAGGCATTTGACCGTATTGTAATAGTAATATTATGATGTCTTAGGTCTAAGCCAATTGTTACTGGCCACGAAAGATTAATTTAAAACTTATTTTTAGCCCGCGTAATTGCATCAAAGTCTATGAATTTCGAAAATGAAACTTTGGCTAGTAATATCTATGGAATGCGTTAATTTTTATACACTAGACGATATATCAAATTAAGGGTTATTAAATTTATTACCTCACGTTCATTTATCATTTTTCAATAAGTCTACAAGATATTAAGATAAAACTTACAAAAACTATAATTTGCCCTTATGAATTTTCAATTCTTCATTACTCCAGCAACCAAGTGAAAAATAAGAAAAAGTGAGACGATACTTATTTCAAACGTTTCAAAGTTTTCGGATGTTTATATAATCTTAAAACGACCATATACTTGGCCACGCCGATTTGGTCAGTTTTCAAGATCGTGCTGAATAAAGTCAAACATGTATTATCCAAGGTTAGGAATCGGTTGATAAGTTAATAGTAGTTTCAAGCACATTAGTATTTACATACATTAACAAAATACAATAAGGGTAAGAAATTCCCATTTTAAGTCCATTTATGCAGTCTTGAAAATCGGAGCGGAATGGTTTCATTAGTCACTGAAGAAGCACATTTTTCGCGGTTTATAAATTTGCCGTTATATGAAAGTAGGGGACGTGCAATAAGTGTTATATATATAGATATAAATATTTTAGTTAATTCCATTATGTGAAAAAGTGACTATAGGTAAATACAATAGTCCTTAACATATCCTGGGAAATCCTTCTGAGGACTCTCCAATTGGACGATATTGCTTTGCATTCAGCTTGAACGAAAAAAGTCACTCCCTGGCACACATTTCTGTAATCCGGTTATTTTATTTAAAAGTTATTTATACAATTGAATAGATTCTTTTTTAGAAAAAAACTGGAGATCCACTTAAGTTTTTCGATATAACTTTCGTAAATGTTACTCGATCAGTACGTAATAATTACCAAATTGAAGGCGAGACTTACCGTTACTGATCTATGATAACACTGTACGGCAAAATCAACTTTTTTTTTCTGGGTATTGGGCCAAACCAATTTTTTTTTTAGGAGATTGAGTGATAAGTAAAACAGAGATTTCTCCGTATTTCGAAGTTAGCCTCCGAAATCGAGATATGGGCCTTTGAAGTTCGACCTTTGGTAAAAAATTATTTTTAATTATTGCATGTAAAAAGCAAAAAAGTAAAAATACAGACGTGGTCCGCCTTTTTCTCATATTTATATGGTATATAGCTTTTTTTGTGAAAACTTACATTACAGGTGCTATAACGGATCAAAAGGTCAGATCTTCGAAAAATTAAATTCCTTAAACTGGGATCACACGATTTGTACATTTGGCTAAAAATTTTGTCAAATTCATAGACAAATCATGTTAACGCTAAATTGCATTTGTCATTTATCAGCAAAGCCAAATATTTGCCTTCTTGTGGCAAATCAAAAACAACCCTGGTGGCCAAATCGTGTGAACGCAATGCTGCTACATAAACCAAATAAAAACTACGCAAATGACCAAATATCTGATTTGCCACTTGATGACAAATGCCAGTGACAAATATACAAATATTGTTGAGCGCTATTGCCATTTCGTGCTTGTGAACCTTTGTATTTTCCAATTTTGGTAAAATTTTAATATTTAATATAATATACGTATCCGAAAACTACCGAAAAATATCACGTTATTTGAAAACAGTAATTTTAAAATATTTGCTCAAACTTAACATTTGAAGACATGTGCATATACGTATTCGACAGTAGCTGAGTGTGCAGAGAAGCGTGCGACTATTTGTAAGCTTTCATGAGGCCCCAGGTTCTTATGCCGGCATAGGAACATATTAAAAAGTATTTATAAAAGTATAATTAATTTCTGAGTATAATTAACTATGAAAAAGCATATGTGAAGTTCAGAATGAAAAATTTCAGAAAAACAACCGGAAAAGTATTCATTTCACAACCCTTCGTGGCACTTTTCTATTCACCTTTCTTTCTGTTTTCGGATCTCTTTCCGCAGTTTTTGCTGGCTATACACATATACATCCATGCATATCGTCGCATAAAGTACAAAACCACGTATCGTCATTCTGCAAAATCGCGTAACTGACATTTGCTGCCAAAAATTGGATTTGCTTACAGAAGCTGTTGGCTCAATCCTTATCCATTCGCTCTAAAATATACTATCCAGAAATGCGATTGCTTTATAAAAAAAGAGAACCATTTTGAAATATGAGTGTTTTTACTATCTAGATAATAATTTATGCGACCTCACATAGGCGGCTTGGCATTTTGTTGATACGCGGTTTTGTACGACGATATACAGATTATTAAAGACGATCTAAATAACACTGTGTGACAGAAAAAAATTATATCGTTTTTTCGAGGTTCACACTTGTTGTAGGTCTATTCAAGCAGTAAAATCGGCATACTCAGAATTATAAATACACCCCCAAAATCTGGGCTTAAGGTAAAAAACCGTGTTTTTCAAAGGGTGACGCACAGGTATACTTGCTCGTAACTTTATTTCTGTTTACTCGGTGAAAAATACGTATATATGTATGCGATTTAAGATAAGACATTTCGCTGCTTACAATAATGTTTCAGCTGATAATTTATCTTAAGAGATGGCAAAGAAATCAGTGGTCGGACTTAAAAAAATTTGTGTGGTAGAATCTGGAAAAAAATGTGGTAGATTTCAAAAAAATGTTGTAGATCTCAGGTTTTGGATCAAACTTTGTGCAAAAATTAAAAAAATTCTGCAAGATTTCACCTAAATTACGAACATTTTAATTGGCATCTAAAACAAAATTAATTTTAGTATAATAAAGTGCAAGATTGAAGTTGATAAAAATTGCGTTGCGTTTTGGCAATTTTTTTCCTGGCAGTTTCGAACATATTTTGAAAGATTTCTGCAACCTTGCGGAGTGCTGCCAGCTTTTCTTTTTATCACATCACGATGTAGCGAACAAATGTGGCTCATTCCAGAAAAGATACTTGGGATTTACCGATTTTGACAATTCTCAAGTAAAAATAAACAACGCTTTAGACATTTGAGATGCACTGAAATTTGCTAATCCTTTCACAAAAATCGCCGGTTTTTATCATTTTCGCTATTAATTCTGTTTATAAATCATATATTTTGCAATTTAACACAATAAAACCACGTTTGATGTCGAAAAATTGATTACTGAGAAAATTTACTATTTTACAGCTTATTTCATCCTCCCATTCGGCTTCGCTGTAAATGTTTAGTGTTGGACAATTTTTGTTCTTAAAATTAAGAAAATTATGTCGATCAAAAATAAAACTACTCAAAAACGCGAATATGTGGTAGATTTCAGACCTTGTGTGGTAGATGCTCAAAAAAGTGGCAGATCTACCACAATGCGGTAGAGGTCCGGTCACTGAAAGGAATCATACAGAGTATATGCAAACCCCTAATTTCATTCCTTTTTATGAGAAATATTATTGCCTATTTTTATAGGTTTTTTAAAAATCATTTAAAGTTCGTGACTTGTAATTTTAGGTCAGAAAATATGGTTTTGTAGATTTATTAGTTTAATTGTACTACATATTTTGTAATGGTTGAAATAAGGAATCGTCAAAACTTAAAAAAATAAGATAATATATATTTTTTTTTATTTGCTCAATGAAAATCCCGACAATCCAAGTATAAGAATAGATTATTGTACATAATTTTAAAGGCCTATAAATCCTCTTCTCACAACATGTTCGATCTTCAAGATTTAATAAAAAATAGTAATTCAAAACTGATAAATGTACAAAAACGCGTTTTCTAGCTTAAAATGAAATGAAATGAAAAGTATATTTAAAATTTTTGTTTTTTAGTTTTTTGACGTGCAACCCCCTGAAATTGTTACATTTAAGGAGAAAATATTTATCATTTAATATTGACTCTATTGACCCAGATTAACCCATGTCACAAACGTGTTGGAATAATGAACCATGTATCGTGGTTCTGTGCGTTATTATCTACTTACTCGTACATGTAAAAAGTCCTAAATATACATACATATTTTAAAGGAACGAAATCAAACTTATTTTTAACCGACTTCACAAAAAGGCGAAGGCTATCAATGATCAATTTGTCGGAATCTTTTTTTTTACGTATTTTACCGCATAACTTTGGACCACGTTAACCGATTTCTATAAGGAAAGGTGTTACCCCACAGGTGGTCCCATACTAATTTGGTTTAAATCCGATCATTGGATCAGGAAGAAATTAACGATAATCTTAAATTTCTATATGAGAAATGAAGTCGATGTTGTTTTTTGCTTAAAAATTACTTGTCCATTTA